AAAACAAAGCCTCTTTTTTTTTTTTTTTTTTTTTTTTTTTTTTCCCTTCTCTCAGGAAGGGAACTGCCCTTCTTGGACTGTGAAAAGAATCTGTTATCCGATAGCCCTCCCCTGGGCCAGAGCAGGATGCAGTTGACTGCAGTGGTCTCTCCGTTGTGGTGGTGATTAACAATTGCCTCTCTTGGCCTGGGCCAGTAAGGGAATTGGTGTTGGTTGGCCTTTCTTGCCCTGTCAGCAGGAATCTATGCCTGAGCTGGTTCCTTTTGGGGCTGGGGAGAAGCCATTGTCTCTGCCTTCAAAGGTAGAACGGGTGTTTTCTGCTGTGTTAGCCACAAGCAGCCGTTCTTACCTGCTCCGTGGCGAGTGAACTCTTCTGACAAGGCTTCAAGCTGTTTTCTGGTTGATCTTTCAATTGCTCTTCTTTGGGTTTGGTTTCTGCAGTTGTTTGACACTTTAGCTGCCTCTTTTCCTTGCAGTGTGTGGCGGAGATGTCAGTCCCTTTCAGCTCCCACTTATAGATTCTCCTGGCAGCTGAATTGCAGACGGGGATCTATGCAGACTCCAGCTGTGGGCCGCCAGCGGGCTGTGCTTGCAGCCCTTCCTGTACAGAGACTCTCAGCCGATAAGCTATTTCTGTGTAGTGCCCTTTCCTCTTTTGCCGGTGTACTGTAGTAGCACTCAACGGCCGTGCGCTCGGAGCAATGGCACACTCCCGGGCATGGCTGGGATGCCCTCCTCTGACACACGTGTGCGTGCACACTCGCACAGGCGCACACTTGTCCCATTCAGCAAGGAAAGACTTGTTAACTGATCACGTTGTTGTTCAAATTCTTAGTTATTTTAAAGCCTTTTTTTAAAGGAAAAAAAAAAAAAAAAAAAGGATTAATTGTGGTCTCTGTGGCCAGAATGCATGCAGATGAGCTACTGGAAAAGGGAATTTGGCAGAATGAGAAACAAGGAATGAAAGAGCCTTGATTTATATTTTTTTTTTTTTTTGCCCTGCTAGCTAAGGATGGCTGCATGGGGAGGGTGCTAGGCAGTGTGGCAAAGCTATACAGCTGCTTACTCTTTCAACAGTTTCTCTCTTCGAGTCAAGAGGTTTCTTTCTGTATTTGGACAGACCACATATAGGATATGGATCTTTTTCACCCTCTCCCTTCAAAGGGAATTAAATTTGATTAGGGTAAGAAGGGGTACAGACAACACCTTGGTTTGGTTTAATGTAGGGAAAAAGTATTGGATCTTTTGAGTCTGTCTAGAACAAAAACTCTCTTTCACACTTGCTGGTGTTTTTTAACGATGACCTCTTCTTCATTCAGTCTGGGTAGGTTTGGCACTTGCTAGCAGGCTGGTGAGCATCCTGCCCTGTTCCTGGGATGATGCATGTCTGCAGGAAGGGGAGAACCGCTTGCTTTTCTCTCTTCCTGGGGCTCTGCCAGAAAGCCAGGCCTGGCCTGACCCTCTGCTCGGGTCAGGGTGAGGGCAGAAGCAGGCTCATGCAGCAATGGGTGTTTCTGCCCTGTCTGCGGATGGCCGTGCGGAGCTGAGGGCCGGGCTGCTCCCCAGCACAGAGCACCTGCTGCTCCCCAGGGGCCAGCGAAGCCCCTCGGGAAATCAGGTCCAACCAGGACTTGAAAGGGGCAAACACAAGCCAGGAAAGAGGTGAAAGCCCAGCTCGTTTCTGCTGCTTTGCTTCTGTTCCCATGAAAAACAATGGCAGTCACTGTCAGAGCAGTTGGGAACCCGGGGCTTTCTTCTGGGCTCCCATTGGCAAGAGTCGGCTGCTCCAAGGCGCTGGCAGCTCGGCATGTCACGAAATCCCCGGTGGGACGGAGGGAGGAATCACTTTCCAGCGAAGCAAGAGGAGGAGCAGTTGAGCTTCTCAGAAAGCTGGTCTCATCTTCCCAGGCTGGCAGAGGCGTAACCTGCTCGACCGCTTAGCTGTGGCCAACCTGGGCATGTCTCTGGCTTCTCTTCCAGCGGCTTGGCACATCACTGCTTGTGTTTTTGATAACTGTGTCTCATAGGGTATCTCTTCCTTGTCTCCACGTTATTATTGACTCCACAGATCCTGGTCTTTATGTAGCTTTTTAGCTCTCCTGCCCCTCGTTTTGAATAAGAAAGCAGCCCTAGTCATTCAGCCCGGTGCAGCACAGCCGGGGCTGGAGCACACAGAGCAGACCCGGAGGGAGGAAGGAGCAGTCTGTTCCTATTTCTAGATCCCACGCAGAGCTCCCGCTGCGCGTCCATCACGAGCGATGCCCCGCGGTCCCTGGCCGGTGGTGGGCGTGCGAGGCGGTGGTGATGGAAGCGGGGTCGCTTGTCCCGCAGACTCACTGCCGTCTCTCGGGAAGCTGCGTCTCGCGAGCACTTTTTTCCTTGTGGCACCGCTGCCGTCTGGTCCTTGTTGGACTTTGAACATTTAAGAAGTGAATCAGTTTCCAGACCCAAACCGCTGGCTAGTTTCCTTTGGGGTTTTTTTTTTGTCGTTGAAGTTTATTGAAATTTTTTTTTTTTATAAACCCAGCAGGCTGGTGGTTTTTTTGACTGCATTATTGTTTCATTGATATTTTATTCCTGGGGGGCTGAGGGGGGGACGTTCTTCCCCACATTGTTCCCCTTCTCAGGGGATTCAGAGGTGGCTTAAACAAGTAAAAGGACCTTATTGGCAAGACTCTGCATCCCCTGGGTCTCTGATGCTGGCGAGCAGGGCTGCTCACGCCTGGCTGACCCTGGAGAGCAGAGCTGGCTCTCTGCTCCAGCCTCGGGGCCAGGCGAAACGCGTAGGCTCTGCTCTCCCAGTTTCTGGACCTTTAGTTGGTGGAAGCCCGTTGCAGAGAGTTGGGAAATTCAATGTAACTTTTTTACTAACCTTTTTTTTTTAAAACCAGTATAAACTGAGTGAATGTCCAGAAGAATAGGCTTAATTGTGACTTGTTGAAGGAGATGGGGTTCAGTTGGAAATTGTGATGGAAAAAGGGGGAGAAGGATGTTGCTCCTCCATCTTCTTCTTTTGTATGGTTGGCACTTTAAATGGGGGCCTTCGTGCTGTCCTGACCCTCGGTGCGATGGGCAGCAGGCGTGTGATCTCCCACCCCTCGTTGCCACATCACTTTTGCCCCTTGCAGAAAGTTAATAAGCCCTTTTAAATGTTTGCTTCAGTTTTTAGAGGGTTCTGAAGCAGGCCGAGACCTGAAGAACACATATTTCATTCTCATCTTAATAGGAGGGGTTGACTTTTTATTTATTTTGTCGTTGCTGTTTCTTTTTAAACTGGTGGCTGTGCAGCTGGACTCTGCACGCGCCGTTGTGAACCTCTGGGAAAACCTCACTCCAGGTACGCTAGAGCACCTAGGTTAAACACCCCTCCTGGAGAGGGGCCCCCCCGCTCCCCTCCTCGCTGCCTTACCCGGGAGCTCCAAATTCACCCTCCGCCCCTCCTGCCCCGTCCCCTGCCACCCCACCTAGTCTCTAGCTGAACGAGTTCTTGCTCTGGTGACTGAGCCCTGTGGACAAGGCTGGTCCCCGGGGGCAAGTTCCTACAAACACTGCCTGGTCGCAGGTGTTTGTCCTTGAAAAGCCACTTCCTCGCTGGGGGGGGGGTGATGAGCAAGAAATTCCCCCCCCCCCCCCCCTCCACCCCCCGGCCGCACAATCCTCCCCCTGGCCCCCCCCCCCCCGCCGACTCTCCCTCTCCTTTCAGGTACGTGCCGCCATATTCTC